GTAGGGACCCAGCCCACGATGAGGCAGGACTTCTCTGGAGGGCTGTTTCTTCAGGCCAGATTGTGCCAGGCGCCCACTGGAGGAACAGCAACTTCCTCCTGCAGAGGTTTCCCAGATGTTGTGTGAACATGTCGTGAGCTCCTCCGTCTGGCTCTCCATTCCCACGAAGTTGCGGTGCTCATGTCTGCAAACTGGGGAGGACTTCACAGCGTATGTGCAGCGCTCACCTCGGTGCGGGCGATGAGCTTCCCTTGCCTTTTTAAAGTGCTCGAATCAGTGATCCACACACAGTGAGCGAATAATAGACCGACTAACGAAGAGGTCAGAGCACTGGTTTCGGAGTCACACAGACCTGAGTCTGAATCTGGGTGGTTCCTGAGGTCATCATAGGGCTGTTGTGGGGATCACGTGAACTGTGTGCACAAAGCACCTGGCACATTTCTTGGCACTCAAGTACTGGCAGCTACTGTGGACCCTTCAATTTCAGCTCACCTAATAATTAGGGCTTCGGGGTTTAATTCTTATAACCCTGTGATGTGCTGTTATCCTTCCTATCTAATAATAGACAAACATGACCGTACCTTCGCTACACCTCCCATTGGCTAATCAGCGAGATATGCAAATTAACCGCCAAAAAAAGATGGTGGTTAATTTGCATACATAGGCGCTAAGCGGTGGAGAGAAGACTGAAGGCGGCTCCGGCCGGAGCAGCGAAGACTGAAGGTGGCTCCGGCGGAGAGAAGGCCTGGGTCCCGGGTGCCGGAGGAAAACCGGTGCCGGCAGCCAGGGGGAGGGAAGGCCTATTGCACGAATCTTTTCGTGTGACAGGCCTCTAGTCAATAAATAAAGAAATAAGACTTGAGGGTCTAAGTAATCTGCTTGAGATAGGTAAGGCTGCCAGTATAGAGTGAGGTCAAACTATTGTTATGTAATGAAGACATTTGGTGGTTTGCCCAAGGTTACACAGCCAGAAAGTGGCAGGACTCAATCTTGAACTCAGACCCTCTGGTCACAAGGCTGAGTGTCCAACATCTATGCTATAGGACCTCTCAGGCATGGCTGCCTTGTCTTACTCCTATGCCCAAGTTCTTCCCACTTTCTTTTCTGCACAACACATTGAGAGAGAAAATTAAATTATTCTTAGTAAATATTGGACTTGGTGATTCCAAATGTTTTTGGGTTGACGAATCCTTTGGGGAATCTGATGAAAGCCATAAGCACTCTTTGCAGAAAGGTGTACATGTCCACAAAAGCTCACATTCAAGTTCAGGACTTCATAGGACCCGTGAAATTCACCAGGGGTCCACGGTCATGGAGGTCAGAACTCCTGACTTAATTCATTAAGCACAGATCATCTCATACCCTTGCAGATACTACATAAACATATACGAACATTCCCTGAACTTGAGCAACACGGAGAGTCAGGACCTTCTTAACTTTTGTGCCACTGGTGTCTTGCTTGCCTCAACCTGGTCCTAATCTAGCAGCCCAGGTATCAAGGTGTGCAGAGGCCAGCGATGACAAGGCACCCAAGAGAACCACCATGGTTTTGGAAGTAAGCATGAACCACACAGTGGCCCATGGGGAGTGGAGGTCATGTGGGGGCAGCAGTGCCCATGGCAGAGCCTCTTGTATGTCTCAGTCTCTGTGCTATGATCATCTTGCTCAATTCAGTTCTCACATCTGGGCTCAGAGCTAGATGCAACTGTTCCCATTTCACAGAGAGCTAGGTCATTTGCTCACACTCCCCCAGGTGGCAAGTGGCAGAGCCAGGTAGGTCCTAGTGTAGAACTGGCTGGCCCCAGGCCCAGCACCTTCGCCTGGCCCACATGGCCATCTCCTTCTGCAAGGGCCCCTGTTAAAATCCCCATGTGGCGATGGCACTGGAGCTCATTGGGCCTAAGAGCGATCATTAACTCTTACATGCTTTTGCTCCTTCAAGCCTTTTTCTGTCTTAATCTTCACTTGCGTTCAAGAATTTGTCCTTTGATTCTTTCACTCAAGAACCATTTCACAGGGTATCCACCCTGTGCTGGCACTATTCTGGGTGCTGGGACCCGAAGGGAGGACTTGGTCCCTGCCCTGGAGGAGCTCAGGCCCAGTGGGAAGAACTTGGGCATAAAATAAAACAAAATAACCCACCAGCAGATCTGAAAACATGTGGCCCTAAGCATGTGCAGAAGGTTCTTGGGGACACAGGGATGGATTTGGGCACTTGTGACAGAAGAGAAGACATTGGTGCTGGTCCCTAGAATGAGAAGAAGTGGGGCTTGCCTGCATGAGGAAGTGGGGAGGGGACCCCAGGCAGAGGGGCCAGCAGGAGCACCAGCTGGTACATTCTAGAAGCAACCTGTGGCTGGTATAGTCAAAGCATACAGGTTGGCAGTGTGGGGAGCAGGAGATTCGACAGGAAAGGTAGTGTAGGCCCAGTGGCAATCACCACTCTTTAGTTCTGATCTTCATCTAAGTGTGATCTTCATCTATGTGCTGTCTTCCTGTGGTTTCATAATTCTTTCTTCTTTCTCTCCTGCTTCCAAAGCATTTCTGTAATATGGTTGAGACATCACTTTTGCACAAGGGCACACCTGCTCTTCTGTGTCTGTGGGGTGTATGTGTGTGTGTGTGTGTGGGGGGGGTGTGCCAAGCTTCTCTGCCTCCCCATCACCTATCCACACACCCGAACCTCAAAAGCAAGGATGTTGGTCCCTGGTGGTCTCATCTGGCTGCTGCAGATTCTAGGGCAGCAGAGTGGGCTCCCAAGGCTAGGTTGTCACTCAAGCAGGAACTGGCCCTTGAGTTCCCACTTTAGGCCCCTAAGGCCATAGCTCCACTCAAAGGGAGTGTTTCCCGGAACAGCTCCCAGTTGCTTGGCTGGCCACAGATTCCGTAGGGATGATTGGGCCCGGAGGACAGCAAGCAGATCCCATCCAGGTATTCTGTGCAGGGTCTGGGCCCCCACTTGCCTCCATTCTTGGTCTTCCGCTTCCTAACTGGAGAGGGGTCAGGCTTGGGCAGCTGGGCAAGCACTTGGAGGCCTGAGAGCCTGACCCAGCCCAGTGAGCTCTGCTGGGCCGATAAAGGGAGGGGTACTTGACTCTAAAACCCCTGACACAGACGGAAGGCTCAAGATATGTGTGCTGATTGAGAAAAGAAATGACTGGTGAGAAATACTATCAAGAGAGGGAAATATAGAGCTTTCCTGGAATAAGGTGCGAGTTGGGAGAGAGAATGGTAGGCAAAGCTAAAGGTCTGCTATGTTCCAGAATGTTCAGAGATAATGGGGACCACTGGGCCATAGATGCCAGTTTTCCCAAGTGTGTTCAGATTTTGACCCCTTCTGAGGCAGGATAAGTATAAATTTTTTGGCTCTTTAATTTAGAACAATTTTAGGTTTACGAATAAATTACAAAGATAATATAGAGGCTACCCATATACCCTTCATTCAGCTTCCCCTAATGTTAACATTTTACCTCACCATGGTACATATGCCAGAACTAAGAAATTCACATTGGTACAATGACATTAATTAAAATATTAGACTTCAGTTAGATCTCACCTATTTTTCACTAATGACTTTTTGTGTGTGTTGTTCCGGGATTCAATCGAATCCAGGATGTGAGTTCTGGATTGAGTTGTCCTGTCTCCTTACTCTCTTCTGATGTGTGACAGTTTCCCTATCTTTCCTCATCTTTCATGACCTTGACACACTTGAAGGTCAAGTGGTCTGTAGGCTGTCCTTCCGTTTGGGTTTGTCTGATGTTTTTTCCTGACTAGACTGGGGTTATGCATTGGGGGAAAGAATAGCACAAAGGTGAAGTATTTTTTCCAAGTATCATAGCAAAAGTTACACAATATATGACTTAGCCTCAAGACATTAACCTTGATCGCCTGGCTAAGGTGGTGTCTGCCCGTATTCACCACTATAGAGTTTCTATTTCCCCCTTTCCATCTTCACTTCCAGCCCTCACTCAAGGTGAGGGGAATACAGATTCTATCAAGGACAGAGGAGTGTCTACAACATATCTATTATGCAGAATTCTCCTCTATAACTATGGAAGCATGATGATAGTGATTCTTTAGTTCCTTGGTAATGTGGATAGTTGAGAATGAAAGCAGTGGCCAATTAGAAAATGAATGGAAAATCTGTCAAAACCCCAGACTTCTAAAAAAATCTTCAGGATGTTGTTATCAACCATTCTTTCCTTTCCACAGCTGGCCAAATAGATCTCTTAGCCAAAAAGGTCATCATTAAACCTATTTCATCACCCTGCTCCCAATGGCTAAAAAAATGGAAAACCTTTTTCAAAAACAAAGCAAAAGCAACAACCAAGCATTTACCTCGAGCCATACATCATGCTAGCCTCTATCAACTCTGCCCTGGAGATGTCATTACCTCTGTTACAGAGAGGCTGAGTAACTTGCTTGGAGCCCCTCCAACTGGCACATGTGTGCCCACCCGTATCCCCAGCCCACAGCCTTGTCTGTTCTCTCTCTATGGCATATCCACGGTCTTTTCCAGTTTAAAAAGCCCAAGACGCAGAATCTACCCGGAATGAATGAGCTTTTATAAATAAAAAAAAACTCTCTAAAATTAAAACAAACCGCCCTAGCTGGTTTGGCTTAGTGGATAGAGTGCCAGTCTGCGGACTGAATCTCAGGTTCGAGGTCACGGTTCGATTCCTGGTCTGGGCACACGCCCAGGTTGCCGGCTCGGTCCCCAGTGGCAGGAGGCAGCCCATCAGTGATTCTCATCATTGATGTTTCTATCTCTCTCTCTCTGAAATCAATAAAAATATATTAAAAAATTAAATTAAATTAAAACGAACCAACAGTGGAACAGTCTATTCATTGGTGTGGCTCATCATATTAATATCTTTCTCTCCATCTATAACATCCATAGCGCCGCTCCTGCCTGCTTTCTCAACCACGGGCCTCAGAGCACTGGTTGCACAGTTTAAGGAAATGAGATGGTCTAGAAGGCAGAAGATGCAGAGTCTTACCTTGGCAATGCTCAGTGGCTTGTCACCATAGCTCTTCAAATCCCAGCATCCTTGTGGTTTAGCAGCCTTCTAACCACATCCAGCAACGGCTGATGCAATCCTAAAGGAAAAGCCCATCTCAGCGGTCTCAATCAGTTCACGCAGCTCGTGGCTTCCTGACGATGGCAAGCACCCGGCAGAGGTGGCAGGCTCTCCGGTCTGTGGTCAGAGCTGCACCAGCCGCCCCCAAGGAGCCCCGCCCCTCCCGAGCACTTTTAAAGCTTCCATGGGCTCACTGGGTCCAATGGGCGCTTCTGCCCCAGAACAGCCCAGGAGGAAGGCCCAGGAGCAGCTGGTCTTTCTCTGGCCCTGGGCCACATTGGTCACAACGCCCCTGTGCCACCAGAAAGTTTTCTCATGGGGTTTTGGTTTACCAACATGGGCAGTGTTTTTCCTACATGCGCCTAGCAGAGTTAGTAAAACTTACAGATAATTCTATCAGGTATTTTTTCTGTGTTGCAGCACTGGGATCTGCTACCTGGTGCCACCTGTGTGAGCTGGTGCCACAGTTCTCTCGGCCTTGTTGCTTTGGTTTTCCAAATAGTGCTGCTAATACTTGGCTTGTGAGATACTATGAGCATGGATGATGGAATGGGTATGAGAGAGGAGCACAGAATTGGCTCTCAATAAATGCTTCTTCCCCGTTTTGTTTTTCATAGCACGCTAGCCAGTCGCTGATTCTGCTCTCAGAGCCTCTTCAATGTGCTACTTCCCTTGGCTACAGAAACTCAGAGGAGCAGAGAATGGTAGAGGCCTCAACATCTAGAGTGTGAGGTGCCATCCTGGACTCCACCAGCCGAGGGATTGACGGGACCAAGGAGGTTGCTGAGATGATCTCAGGACACTTGCTGGTCCAGCCAGACAGGTGAGCCACTGGTCACGGCTTTTATTTTTTAAAATATAATTTAATTAAAAATTTGGAGGTCACCTGCTGTCTGATCCATGGACCAAAGGGAACCAGTGAGTGGGCTCCTCTTCTGCCTTTATGTCTGGAAACCTTGGGGATGGAATTGAGATAGACCTGCTTCTACCCCTGGCCTGGGACCACAGTCCACAGTCTCAGTGTCCTGGTGGAGTTTCTTTGCTTGGATTTCAGGACTAAGACAATACTTTGCTGTGAGCTCCTGATAGAAAAAAAGCTTTTTGACAGGTGTTCATAGCAACATAGTGTTCTTGGATTCTAAGACTCCTTCAAAGCAATTTGCTTTATTTCCCTGAAAGGTTTTTGTGAGAATAAGTAGGTTAACAAATAATAAAAAGTATTATGATATTTAGTAAGCTCCGAAGAACTGGCAGCTGATGTGAATATGCCTAATTAAAGTCCCAAATATGATCTTTCAAACTGCTTTGTCTTCTATCCTGGCTAGCAAAGGGCCCAGAGCAGAGTCCAGAACTAGCTGCGCTCACCCAAGCATAGTTATTATTAATTTATTATTCTATTCACCTCCTGACACCTGAGAGTTGGACCTAAGCATTAAATACAAATTGAGAGAATATTGACCTGCTTAAACTTATAACCTAAAACTTAATGTGAGATGAGATTATTCAATCTTGTTATTTCAATTCAGTTAGCACAGCAAGCTTTTGTGAATGTCTGCTCTGTGGTGAGCACACCCTAGAGCTGGGGGCAGAGATATAAATAGGCATGACCCTCCCCTGAGGGACTCAGCCTAAGGAGCCTGGGAAGAGGATCCAGCAGACAATTCGAATGGGGTAGGTAAGTACAGCCATGGATGCCTCCACAAGGTGCAGTATTAGGGTGGGGCAATAACTCCATCAGGGATTATTGGGGGGAGTTACCAAGGAGATGGCTTTGAACATGATTTGTGACTGAGAATCATGCAAACACTTAAGGACAGATACCTAAGTGAAACCTTATACTGAACAAGGACCCAGTGATGTTGCCTAGTTATGTCTAATGTTCTCATCAATGCGGACTCAATAAGTGACTTTTGGACAACTTTCACATGCTTGGAGCCGAGGATACAGAGAATATAGTGGGAAGCAGGAAATCTACCTTCCTACGGGGAAAGTCCATTTCCTCTGATTCTGGCTCATCTATTTAATTAGGTTGGAGGGAGAGGGCATGTGAGAATTTGCAGTGAGGGTGGGAGGAGGTTCAGGGTAAGCTGGCCTTTGTGTGGTCTGGAAAAAAAAAACTTCATCTTTCTGTCCACCTCCAACAGACAGGGGTCGGAAAAAAACAACACAGAAATGATTCCTGTAGCTACTCAGAAAAGAACAAGGAAATGACCTGGCTCTTGGGTTTCAGATGTCTGAGCAGAAGTGAAAGTTAATTTCAGCCATTTTCACCCTTACAGACTCGTAGAATCCCTGAGAATGGCAGAGGGGAGGTGGGGGGCAGACCCAGGAGAGGAGATGGGGAGCACTGAGATGTGGTAGGGGAGGCCAGGGGAGGCCTTTTAGACACTTTTGTTAGACAGCCTCAGAGAGATCTCTCCGAGCTGCACTGAGACTGGGCCCTGACTCTACAACCCCCAGTTCAGGGTTCAGCTTCACTGGCTTCCTCGTTTATTTTTGCTCATTTGAGGTGACTTATGCAAAATTCAGAGCTCTCCTTCCATGTGTCTTCACCCGCCTCCTAACACCAGCACATTTCTGATCTAAATTGAAAGCTGTGGGAAATAGAATATTTGAGTGGAAGAAACATCAAAATAATCCAGTCCAAGATTCACTTCAGGAATGGTGGTGTGAGATGTTGGGCAATTTCCTTCTGAAGGAAACAAGTATGAAACCAGACAAAGCTGTCAAAACCAAACATTTCAGGACACTGGAGAATGACCAAAGGCATTAGATGTGTTTAATCTTGAAAACCTGCTACTGCATCTGAATGGTCGTGAGTCTGTGGTCTTCTTGCCCAGGGCTTCTACGCCTCTTCCCCCTCCTCCAATCCTTAGCTTGGGTGATGAGAACCACAGCTTTCCCTGTGGGAATGGCGAGCTTGTTTTGAGGGCTATTTGTGAAAACCAGTAGCTTTATCAGCTGGAGGTGACAGATTTGGTCTGGGGCGGGAAAATGAATACCTGCAGTTTTATAAGTTAGAGGTCAAGGAATCAGTTCTAGACAGGAAGTGAAAAACTGCAGCTTTATTGGCGTAACCTCTTAACAGTTAAAACTTCTCTTCAGAGTGGGTAGAAGATCACCCAGAAATGTAATGGGGGAAATCCTGGAAGTTAGACAGCCATGAAAGGGCTGAAATAATACACTCCCATACCTCCCTGGCTGACTGCTAAAATATGTGTGAGTCAGGGAGGCTGAGGGTGCAGCAAAAAGTGGACGCCAAGGAAGACCTGAGGACTTACTGTAGATTTGAGTTTGTTCCTCCAACTACAAACAGCTTGGACAACAGAAAATGGAAGGATTATATGTTCAAGGTGTCTGAGCATAATCCCTGTCTAAATAATTGCCTGACCATTAAACAACGCAGAAACAGGGGACACCCTTAGAGAGCCAGACTGAAAAACCAAGTAAAATACTAAAAACAAAAACAGTACAGTGATTTCAGTGGCTGCACACTATGGAGGGGACCAACTTTGCAATTCAAATGCAGGTGAGTCAGTAAAAAAACCAACCAACCAACCAACCATTTTTGGGACAATAAATCAGAATTCTGAGTTGCTACAATGTCCAATTTTCAACTAGAAATTACTAGATGCATGAAGAAACAGGAAACTGTGACCAGTGAAAAGAATAGATTCTGACTCCAAGCTGTTATAGTTCTGTTCAAGGAATAAAAGGAAACTATGCTTCATGAATTAAAACAATTTATATTAACAGTGAGTCAACAGAAAGGGAATCTCAACAGAGAAGTGCAAATTATTTAAAAAATCAAGAATTTCTAGGGTTGAAAACTACATACACTAACATTGAAAATCACTAGTTATGCTCAACAGCAGATCTGAGATGGCAGAAGAAAAAAGCTGTGAATTTGAAGATACAGCAATAAAAGTTATCCAGTTGAAAGAAAGAAAGCAAAAGGGGGTAAGAAAAATGAACAGAGCCTTAAAAACCTGACAAACAATATAAAGTGTTTAAATATAAATGTAATAGGAGTCCCAAAAGAGAGGAAAGAGAAAAAAGACACAGAAAAATTATTTGAAGAAAAGCTAGTTGAAAATTCTCCAGTGTTAATAAATAACATTGACTTAGAGCACCAATGCTGCAGTGTGAATGTTTGTGTCTTCCCAAAATTCATATGTTGAAACATAATGCCCAATATAATGATATTAGGAGGTGGAGCCTTTGAAAAATGATTTGGTCATGTAAGTTGGATAGAAATAAAGTCTCTCAGTTTTATATTCTGGGAAAGAATAAGAATTAGTGTTGTTATAAAATAGGCCTGAGAGAGCTTCCTCCTCCCTTCCACCATGTGAGGTTATAGCAAAAAGATAGCCATTGCCTGGCCAGTGTGGCTCAGTGGTTGAGCATTGACCTATGAACCAAGAGGTCATGATTTGATTCCTGGTCAGGGCACATGACCAGGTTGCGGGCTCGATCCCCAGTGTGAGTGTGCAGGAGGCAGCTGATTAATGATCAATGATTCTCTCATCATTGATGTTTCTATCTCTCTCCCTTTCCCTCTCCCTTCTTCTCTGAAATCAATAAGAATATACATTTTTTAAAAAGATAGCCATCGATGAAGCAGGTCCTCATCAGACATCAAATCTGTTGGCACCTTGATCTGGACTTCCCAATCTTTAGAACAGTGGGAAATAAATTCCTGTTGTTTATAAGTAGCCCAAACTGACTAGGACAGTCAAGAAACTAAATGAAACCAACATAACATAAGTGAGCCATTCATGGTCCAAATACTGAAAGTCAAAGAAAAGACATAGTCTTGCAAGCAGCAAGAGAAAAAATTATGCATCATATTTGTGGCAACAATACAATTGATAGTTAACTTCTCATCAGAAACAATGGTGGTGGGGAAAAAAAGAAACAATGGTAGTGGAAGACAGTGAAATGGTATATTCAAAGTGCTAAAAGAAAAAAGAACTGTCACCTAAGAATTCACTACCCGATAAAACTATTCTTTAAAAATGGTGTTGGTATAAATAATTTTTCAGATAAATGAAACTGGAGAGAATTTGTTTCTATCTGACTTAGAGTTCAGGAAAAACTAAAGGAAGT